GAAATACTGAAATACTCTATCTTACCTCCCACATTTAAGCACGTTTGGTTTTGATGTGAATGACAGTTCAGGATATATTAGCGTTAGATGTGTTTCAAATAGTCCTCCAAAAATAATATTTCCATCTTTATACAACCCATTCAACTTAAATTTTTCTCGATGTTTACAAAAGGGCTCTTTGAAAGTAGAAACAAGAAAGACTGAACACATCAGTAAGAAAATACACCAACAGAAATCCATCGATACTGAATGCACAACTTCACTGGTGTTGGTACAGGAAATTCTTACTATATACTGTAGGCAGTGTCTCATTCCTTAGAGAGTGCTTTGTCACCACCAGTGACATAAGGAATCCCACTGCTAAATCATGTAGCATACTACAACCATATTATGAAAAATTGGATCAGAAACACAAGCAACAACAAACAAGATACAAAGAACAGTGGTATTAAAATGTTTTTTTCACTATCTATTCACTATAAAGCGATTCCCTACCATCAGAGTCAACATCATCTTGTAAATGGTTTCAATAGATACAGCGGAAGAATTTCTATAAATGTTGATAATTGTGAATTTCTAAAAAAAAAAAACCTCTCAGATACCTAACATATGATACATCAACTCATTTTAACCTCAGAAACCCAGGAAAAAACAGCAATCTAGCATTTCATTCAAACCATATTGTTAGATTTTATCTGACTTAGCCATGTTGTGATGTTATATAAGCCAGTTTATTAAGTGTAAATGCAAAATTAGATACAGCACTGTGTGTATGTCTATATGAGTGTATGTATTAGTACTGTACATATTTTTATACACAAGGTAACTTGAAAGCACTAAAATCTTTTAATTACACTCTGTGCATGCTCTAAAATCACTTACAGTGTACAGTACTGTATGGGCATTTACCCAAATACTTAAAACAATCAACTATTTTCTATTCAATTGGCCTGATGGGGGCTCCAGTTAATATGCAAAACATTTTTATTTTTTTGTATATTACTTTCCTGAAATGAAAACACACATTTCAACTGTGGTAAGAGTAAGAAAGTGTAAACTTCATCTCATGAACATGGAAACTTACATTCATTCAGAGCAGCCTGGAGACGGAAAATGCAGGGGAGGAGAACTTTCTTTTTGTCTGGGGAGAGCATATTTTAAAAAATGCTGAAATTACATAACAATAAAATGATATATGATGCCATTCCTACATTCTTCAGGATCAAAGAACACTTTGCAAATATCCTTCTTTTTGACTTGAAATAAGTATGATTCTGAGAGACATTAAGAAATTTTGCAAATGCAATTATTTTCAATACCCATATATGCGATACAATGTATTATAGGTTGGTACCTTTAATGCCTCATAATATTTTATATATTTGATCTAAAAATAACTTTTTTATGTAACCCCAGTAAAACCAAGCCCCAGAAAAGCCATGAGAAAAAAAAAACTGACATAATCAGATATACAGTAAACAAAGGACACAGTTTTTCACTTAATATGTTTATTAATTCAGGGTATAACATTAAAATTGCACATGTATTTGGGTGTTAGCTCTTCATTTCTGCAATGATAACAAACACCACAAACAATAAATAAACAACAAACAAAATAAATCAGGTTAAGGCTTTTTTTCAGGCCATTTTTTTTAAATCAGAAAGCATTAAAAGAAAACACAAAATTATTTCTTTTTAATAGAATAATTCACACCTTAAGGTTTTATTTACTTTCAAAATCAAATTGAAGAATTATGCATAAAAAACATTAATAACTGACAAGTTCACACATTAGGATTTTAACCCCCAAATGAGTAATGTAAAGAAGAGATTTGTTACTTTTTTCCTGCTCTACCCATAAGAGCTTTCTTGGTATTTTTCTCTGGATGAAGCAGAATGATGTAACATTTTGGC